AGTAGTAGTAGTCGTAGCAGTGGTGGTGGTAGTAGTAGCAGTCGTCGTAGCAGTAGCAGTAGCAGTAGCAATAGCAGTAGCAGTAGCAGTAGCAGTAGCAGTAGTGGTGGTGGTGGTGGTGGTGGTGGTGATGGTAGTAGCAGTCGTAGTCGTGATGCTCCTGCTGCCTGCTGCTGTTTGCGGCATTGCGGAGGCTTGGAATCAGAATCATTGCAGTCTTGGCTGGATCGCAGTGGTGTCTTGCCCGTCAGGTCCCCGAAGCCGAGCGCCGTGCTCAGCTTTCGAATGTGAGCACACGGACCTGAGCAGCGCTGAGATTTCGGTTTCTGCGTGTGCATTTAGTAAATATAAGACAAGACCTGACACCTGTGCTTCGAAAAGAGCTGGTGGATTGATGGCACAGCCCAGATGTGCTTTTCGAACAGGACATCCAGGGTTGCAGCCAGTTCTGCTGGCTGATTTTCATCGGTTGTGAAAGGTGCAAGCGGATCATCAGGGAAATCCTGACCGCGGTAGGACGCGTGAGGGATGAAGTATTGGTGTCGCCTCGCACAGGTGTCGGAGTTCTTTCGGTGTGTGAAGGACACCTGCACAAGAACAACATCATCCACCGCGACATCAAGCCTTGACCCGACTGAGGGCTGCGAACGAAAGAAGCAGACATGCCCCGGCTTGTTTAAGGCCAGAAAACATCATGTTCGATCTGGACTTGATGATCGAGTCATCTCCCAAGACGGTGAAGCTCATCGACTTCGACACGTGTCGGTACCCTGGAACCCTGTTCATGTTCTTTCTGCGAAGGATTTGCTTGTGACACGGAGCGGGGACTGCAGCTGCGCCTTGCGAGATCTCCAAGGTCAAGAGTGGACGCCGCAGACACCAAAGAGCCGACGGTTTGTCGGCACGTCCGGTACTGAAGCCGTTGCTGTGAAACTACCATGTGTCGGGGTCCTTGGCCACGTGCCCAACAGGCCGGGGTACATTGTGTCGTCCTTAGAACAGAAAGCTTTGCCATGCTTTCGCAGCAAGGCTCCTTGCATTCGTTTCTCGGTTTCTTGGAGCTAGGCTCCGGAAGCGTTGATGGGACAGCAGTCTCCGCAATCAGATCTTTGGTCCGCCGATGTCCCAGAAGCCGAGCTTCAGCTTCTGCAGCTTCTGCGTGAGATCCGGAGGTGGGGGTGATCCTCTACATCTTGATGACCGGTGAAATGCCCTGGAGTTCTCTGGTCAGTCTGGAGGAGCCGCAGCTGTCCGAGGTTCATGATCGTGCGGTGACGGCATGTTGTAGCGCTGATACGCGAGATCTTGCCATGCAAACCCCTACATGTAACGGAGGATTCGCTGAGTTGAACTCGATGGCTCATGCGGTGATTTTTGATTCTGCATCGTCTCGTATTCCATATGAGTCACACTGGTTCCCGGCGTCTCTGGTGTTGTGGGTCTGGCCAAAAACCCTCGGAGGGTCCGAGTTGCGAGAGTCCAACCAAGACACGGATGAGCAGATCGGCAGATCGTCGTCAGGACGGCTTGGTAGGCAGCCCAAGCGCCACACAGATGTACCGGGCTCTTAAGGCAGGCTGCTGTCCACTTTTGAGAGTGTTCTTTCTGGAATGGGTCTTGCGGCTTGTTGAAGTTCTTGTCTCAACCAGCCATGCTTCAGGCAGAAATCCTTGAGTCGCGGACTGATTTGCTTTGCTTGCGGTCGGTTTCCAGTTTTGTGCTCCGTTTCGAGTCTTTGGTGCTTCCGGCTTGCAAGGTGGGAGCAGGAGCCATGGCCAGACTTTCCATTGGCGCGAGATCTTTGCATTATCCTAAGCCCTGCGTGCAGTGACTGGTTCCAAAGCTGAAGATGTCGTCGCGAAGGCCAGAAGTTGTTGGCTTTCGAGCTGGATGATCGCATGAAAGACTGTGAGGAGGCAGGCTCTGCGAGTTCATAGGTTGCGCTAGCATGCTGAGGCGGCAGGCAAGGCATGTCACGCTGTTGTTGAGCGTATGCTTGAGAGATGCGGCCTCTGAAACCATGTTGTTTTCTCTGCGCCAACCGAGGCACTCAACCATGACTGGTTGAAGGAGTGATGCATAGAGCGACGACCTCAGATACTGTAATTACTTGCAGCGTGCAGGCATGGCTGACCGAAACATGTGCCAGAATGTTTGTTTGTGTGTGTGTGTGCTGTGTCTGCTGCAACTTTCAGATCTCGACATGTGCTCAGTCAGGTGACCTCCCGTTGATAACATTTCAGATTAAGAATAAGCATTGCTGAGCAAAGCACAGCGTATATGCTTTCCACGGAGTGCTGGGCCTTCCAGGGTGCGCCAAGGTATGACCAGGTTATGACAGGTATACAGCAACTGAGCAACATTGCAGTCAGAGAAGGTGCCCGGATCGCCCGTAGCTCCAGTGGCTCCATGTTTGAGGTCCAGACTTGCGAATGACCTTTTTTCGCAGTCTGTGTTCTCCATAGCCTTAAGAGGGCTTGGCCAAATTTTTGATGCGATCGCTTAAGGCGTCCGAAATCGCAGCTAGCTCCGTCCCGCGGTTCAGGGCTGATGCCTTGACTGCTCGTGCTATCCCGTGCTGCACGTAGCAGCCCCATTGCCAGAAGGCCTTGAGCCATGTCTCTGGGAAGCTGCCACGTGATCGGCATCCTTGAATTAACACTCAAGGCCCCCACACTGGCCTTCACTGGAGGGTGGAAGACAAACGTAACTTCAGGTAGTTTCAGACTTCTATCAGTCTTCAGTTTGATCTGTTCATGTTAATTACAAGTAATATTGTCAAATCAGGCATCAAGCTTTCGATGATCGAACAAAAAGGAGAAGAGGACATGTGCGCGCCGTATGGCGTCTTTTCAGAAGTCAAAGGCTCTTGCGAGAGTAGAGCATGACATGTCCTGAATTTTTGCACCTCGTGACGAAGTGCATGCGATGGTGTTGCAGGGGCAAGTTTCTGGCAGTAGCCCTGCCTTTGTAGAGCTTGAGACTTGCTCCTGTTACATGCACCGCACAGGAGACAGGGTTCATGTCATGCAATTGCGGCAAAAGTGCGTCAGCCCGTCCCAGCCGGCAGCAATTCCTGAAGCATGGTCGAGTCTCAGTGTTCGCATTTCCGTCGCGGCACTGTTTGTACTGGTGTGACTCGGGGGCGGGCAGGGGGGGGGGGCGGGGCGGGACAACAATTGAGCATCGAAGATGCAAGGCATGTCAGCACGTACAATCTGTGAGAAATGAAGATGCCGGCTCGGTTGGAGTTTGGGTTTCGGTTCACGGTTTGGCTGCGAGAGCAACATCCACGCATGCTCATCAAGCACAGCTGCCATTTTGTTCGTTGCCATTTGGCTCCTGATGCAAGAGCGCCTCACTGTTTTCCAAGTTAGGCCACAATGGCAGAGGAAGGGCGATCGCAGCACCCTGGCGGGAAATTCTTGCGTGTGTGTTTGTGTGGTTTCTGTTTCGGAATCGAGGCTTCCCGAAGATGATGGCGTCGGGGAGCCTTCCGCGGAGGAAGCTCCAGCTGAGCCGCCCAAGGAGGGGTCCGTTCAGCAGAGCGGCGCCTGCTTTCAGGAGGTTTTCCTGATGTTCCCATGTTGCCTGGAGGCCGAAGCGGAAGCTGCTGGCTCTATGCCTGCGACTCGAGTTCTGTCGAGTCGGCAGGAGTAAAGCATCGCCATTTGCCCGTGGCCGAGGTCCCAGTCCTTGGACACACCGCTGAAAGGCCTCGAAGAGGCATCAATGGATCCAGTCGCGTCTGTGACGGTGAAGTGATATGCCGAATCGCAACAGACGGACAGGTCGATGACCTCAAGGTTCCTCGCTTGGCCAGTGGAGTCGCAAAGCACGTCATGTCGGAGCACATGCTCAGGTCATCCACCGGGACTTTCCGGATGGGTCCGGAAGTTTCACTGTTCTTCACCATCAACATCTCTCGTGCCCAGCTCATGATCCAGAGCAAGCCAGTTTTTCTATTCTGCAGGCGTGCGTGACGGTGTTTGACCTAAGGAAAAGCGTGATGAGTGGTGCCATGCTTAAGTTGCTTGCTTGCCGCAGCAGAGCAGCGCGCGGAGAGTTGAGCTTTCCTGTGGTACAGGTTTGTTCGTGTGTGAGGTAGCTTCACTTCCACTGCTTCTAACGGCGGCGTCACACAGTGCCAGACTCAGGCTACCTCTTGCGGTAGAGTGCGGTTCTGTGGAGCCACTGAGGTACCGGGGATGCTTTCAGGGAGACCCTCATCACGAGGGGCCCGTGCCGAAGGGTCTCGGGGTGTCCCTGGCGCAATTGCGACAGCATTTTGTTGTAGCTTTGACTTCTGCCAGCTCTTCACTAGGTCAGGATCAATCCTGATGGGTCTTCCTACACAGGTGAGTGGAAGGAGCGTGACACCGGCAAATGCGAGGGAATGCTGGCCTTTGAGAAATGTATGCTGCATCAGGACGGCCAACCTCACGGCCATGGTGAATGGAAGGTTAGGGCCTCGGCAGATCACATCACGCAGTCTGCCGAGGGAAGGCGTACTCGCCCAAACACTGGAGCCCCCGACGTTATGACAAGAAGGGACTTCGTCGCAAGGCAGCCGAGCCCTCTTGTGAAAGCTACGTGGGAGACTGGAAGGCTGGGACGATGCTCGGTTCCTGGCATCCAAGCCAGACTGTACAGTACCAACCAGCGTCAGAGTACCATAAACCAGGCATCGAGCCAATTGTCGAAGAAACTGGAAATCCTCTTAACTCTTAACCCTTTGCCTGCAGCAAGAAATCGCCGAACACGGCACACGGCTCTGACTGCGTGCACTTGGCCAGCGCGGCAAGAAGCACGGCTTTGGCATCATCAAGCTGGCAAATGGAGCCTCTGTCTGCTCGGCTTTTCCTCTGATGTGCTCGGATTTAGAGTTTAAGGCTTAGCCGGCTTAGCCAGTTCGCTAGTTGGCCCGTTCCCAGCTTTTGCAACAGGAGACTCGTACGAGGGCGACTGGGCAGATGGTAAGTTTCAGGCTGGTCTGAGAATGCCTTCAACGTTTTGAGCCACAGACTCGCCCGGCAGGACAGAGGCAAGTACGTCTATGCAAACGGCGATGAGTTCATGGGATTGTGGGACAAGGGTGTGAAGTTGAGCGGGACTTTCTATTACAAGGAGCGCTCGGCCATGGCTCCCTTTGACACTCTGCTTCACCCGTCGCATGCACTGCTCTTGCGCTTCATCAGCGTGAGGATGGACGCATCAGCACGAGGAAATGGGAGAACGGACGCTTGGTTTCGTGCCAGGACGGCACAGCATTTGCAATTTCACTTCCGTGTCAAGCTTCGTCGGCCTCTTTCCTTGTACCAGGACTTTGATTCCCGAAAAAGAGCTTATCAACCAACCATTACCCATTCTCAGGTGCCTGGCTGTATGAAAATGGCTGTGGACGTGACAGTCCGAAGCAAAGCATTCGGCTGCCTCCGCTGCGCAGGTGCACAACCCTGAGCGGAGCCAGTACGGTGCAACTGTGCGAGTCTCGGTCGCCCTTTGTGCGTTTAGCTTCAGCTCAACTGCTGTCAGGGGACGCTCAGTAGCATGGTCAGCGCCAATGGCGTCCCAGTTGGCTGAGATGGGCAGCTAAAGGATCGGTGTTAGGCTTTCAGAGCCCCAGCGCATAGCCTGATGAACCATTCGGCCACACCTGCGTTGAAGTTCGCACGGGTGTCCTGTGTTCTGACACCGGCAAATGATGCTTTGCAAGCCAACCGCAAAGATGGATGACCTGCACACGACGTAGGGTTTCACTGGCTAGATGCAGTGCTGAAAAGCAGCATTGCAGTCGGGTGGAGAAACCCATGCTAGCTAGCTTCGGCAGCCGAAAAGCATGATGAGGCAGGGATTTGCCGCCGATGGAGCATCTTTCACCATGTTTCACTTTGACTTCATGTCGTGCTCGTTCGAAGACTAACCGAAACCCGACAGTCACCTCGGCTCGAAGGTTTACTGGGATTCAGGGTTCGGCAGTGCAGGAGGATCCCAGCTGGCTCTGTGGGCCATGGCATCTGTGGGAAAGACTCCCAGCGAAGAACGCAGAGCATCCACAGAGCATCCAGTGGTGAGTGAGCCGAAGGAGTGGGCCGGCGCAGATGAGTCAGACGATGACAAACCTATCGAGAAGCATGCAAGCAGATCCTTTGAAGCCCGGGAGAGGCGGCTAACCGTCGCCGCGGTGAATCTCCAGAGCGACAAGATCCTTGGTGACCAAGAGGTTACCGTGGTTGACCAGCAGAAAGAGTGGAAGGATGGTGAGGAGTCCGATGAAGAGGCATCGCCCGACAGGGTGGCAAAGCGTGCCTCGCAGTCCTTCCAGAAGCGGGAAAGCCGCTTGGCCCAGGGCGCTGTCATCCGCCGCAGCTTCTGTGAGAGCGAGGCCAGCCATGTCGTCTCCTTCGAGCAAAGCGGAAGCGTGCGGCAGGCGGCACCAGCCGGTGACAGGTGTAGTGATAGATGTACCAACATGTGTGTGGTATCCTGAAGTTCCTTGTGCCGAGGGGCCCAGGGGTGAGGGATAGATTGCGAACGCTTGCGACCTTGTGCTTGAGACAACAGCGGCCAGCAGCTTTTCCATGCCTTTCCAATGTCGCTCGACCTTCTTGGAGTTGCATGCCGTGTGCTTTTTGGGCCAGAAGCGAAATAGAATGCACCACAGCCGTTTTGGCCACAAAGCTAGTGGTTCAGTGCCGCCTGCTACCTTCGCAGTGGTCCGCACCACTGCGCAGATCGATTCAGTGACTTGACCGAAACGGATTGGGCATGGACCTTGTCATACCTTCTCCTGTTGTCTCGTGTGAGTACCCTACGGGCTGTAAGCAGGCAAAGCACAGAGAATTTGTGACCATCTTCCAGGCCAGGCCGTGCCCGGTATTCCCGGTCCCGACTCGGTTCCCAGAGCTCTTTTCTTTTAATTGCTTCAGGTCGCCGACGTTGAGATGACCCTCACGAACAGCGTCATTGCGGCCTTCCTGCGCCTGTTTCTGGTCGGTTGTAAGTGCTCGTCCTTGGGCTTCCGGCTCCAGAGCACGTTGATACACTGCAGAGCTGCAGCTTCACTTGCGGTCTTCTTTTGCTGGCTTTTCTAGGTCTTGCGTGCAGCTGCTTTGCACATGCGATGGTAACTCTGTCGCCAGCCACTGCCCGCCGGGATGGCTCTGGATGCTGCAAAGGTGGCTTTTGAAAACTTCGGTGAGGCATGGCGGCAGGGCGGTGCGGTGTGTTTTGGTCACGACCCTCGGTGCGGCTCTGGCATCAGGTTTCCCGTGTTCAGCGCCTGGAGAAGTTCGACAGCTTTGTCCAGGCATGGGTCAAGCGTGTAGAGACGGAGGGGCAAGACCGGGCAAGACTCAAATGCTGGAGGTCGTCTTCTACGATGTTCGTTCGGCCGATCGAGCAGTGAAGGCGTGTAGGGAGCTCGACGTGACCTTCCAAGGAAGATGTTGTTGCATCGCATGTGCTAGTGATAGTGTAGATATTTGATAGCGTCCACACCTGTGTGTGCACATACGGTCCTACAGGATGGAGCATGCAGACCGTGAGTGTACACACACAGAGACACACTCACTCACTCTCTCTCTCTCTCTCTCTCTCTCTCGATCTTTCTCTCTCTCTCTCTCTCTCTCACACACACACACGCACAGACAGAGTACGAGTTGATGGTTTGCACGAGCATAGAAAAGCCTGATCCACTAATGCCGTGCATGTGCACGCAAACGTTTGCATACGGACGGACCTTTGGCATCTTAGGATTCTTGCATAGAAAAGCCTGATCCACTAATGCCTTGCATGTGCACGCAAACGTTTGCATACAGACGGACCTTTGGCATCTTAGGATTCTTATGTAAGGATTTCGGGCATATCCATACAAATGCACGCATAATTGTATTCATGTGGACATGTGCCATCATGTTCCTCTTCTCGAACCTTAGCTGCCTTAGCTGGAGGTGCCACGTTCAGAGCCCGTGCCACTCCTCCAACCTTGAACCTCGAATTCGTACCCGCCTGCCCCGCCATCTGCCCCCCAAAATCCCGAACTGAACGCTTCAGAGCGCATGACCCCGGGCACTGAAACGCGAGAGCTGCGCGAGGCTTTCGGTGCGGCCGGCTGCATCTCAGGTCCTCAGGTCGGTCCAGGCCCTGGTTGCCTTGTGAGGCTTTCAGAAGAAACGCTTCTCTTCAAAACTTCTCCGATGCGTCAAATGTCGGCAGTCGAAACTGTGTTTTGCGTCCGTGCTGTCGCGAGCTTGCCTGAGGTGATCGCACGGTCATGCTGGCAGGGGATGACCAGCTTTCAACAAAGGACAACGGGTGCAGAAAAGGGCCTCATACAAAGAGTGGTCTGTGCTCTCGCACACTGCCGTATGAGAGCAGCTCCACCCTCCGCAGAAAAGTCAGCTCTTTCAGCCTGAACCCTTAGTCCCGGCCCTTAAAGCCTTAACGCAACTCCCAGGACTTCCAGAACATCTCGGAGGTTTGCAAGAGCCAGGAGGGAGCTCACTGGCCATGTCTACAGTTGTAGGACGATGGCGACTACTATTGCCAAACTACTACTGCTACCAGTACGAGTACGAGTAGTAGTACTAGCACCAGCACTAGCACCAGTACTTGTACTAGT